CCTGGGACTCACTTGGTAGTCCAGGCTGGCCTCGAACTCACAGAGATCCGCCTGGCTCTGCCTCCTGAGTGCTGGGATTAAAGGCGTGCGCCACCACCGTCCGGCCTTCTTTTTAAATTTTTATTACACTTATTTACTATGCATATACATGTGCCACACACAGCATGTCACCATATGGGACCAAGATCGAACTCAGGTCATCAGGTTAGGAAATGAGAGCCTTTACCTATTATATTAAGCCCTCTTTGGACCAGATTTGTTTTGTTTGTTGTTTTTGAAACCATGTGTCACCCTGCAGCTCATCTTTGCCACAAGATTCTCTTTACCTCAGCCTCCGGAATGAGGGATTTACGGGCTGCACAAAAACATGCATAATCTCAGGCGTGGGTACTTGACGTCTCACATCAGACCTGGCTACCTAGTAACCCACTCTTTAAACATTCTCTAAACGCTAAAGCAATTTCAAATGTCATTTAACTGAAGCGGGGTGGGGGTGGGGGGCCGCAAGTTTTTCAGTGATCTTTTGAATCCCCAAAAGCATGGAAGTTCTAAACATGAGCCATCTTGAATTCTATTCCCGGTAGGTCAAGCTATACGAGCTGTTCTGCCTCCTATAGGCCAAAAAAAGTATTTCCCAACTACAGCCAAGGCTATTGGTCAGCCGGACACTCCTGGGTGGAGCTTCCAGGACGCAGGCTCCTAAAGGTGCAGCCTAACCTGACCTTTTGCGTCTTGACCTGGGTTCCGGTTCATCTTTTCAAAATTGATTGGCATCTAGTAGTATCCGGCCTTGCCTGCCCAAGATCGAGATTTCCCTGCACTAGGCGGTACACAGGTGCCCAGAGCGCCAGACTGCAGCCGCTCCGCCCGCGCCGTCTCACCTATCTGCGCCGCACCCCGCATCTCTCTCCAGCCCCGCATCACCGTCAACATGCTGGGAGTGAGGCCCCGCAGCCCCAGCTTCGACCCCGAGCCCTGCTGGCCACCGCAGCCACAAGGATCCAGCCCGGCCAAGCGCCGCCGCCTCCACGAGCCCGCCCGCCACGAGCCCCTGGCGTCGCCAGACATGGAAGCGCCCGCCGGACCCGCCAGCGACGCGCTCACCTCCGTGGTGTTCCTGGCCGCCGGCTGCGCCATGCAACTGCAGCTGGAAGACGTCGACCTGCTGCTGGAGCCCGAGCCCACCTCGGTCCTGCAAGTGTCGCTCCCTGGACACACCTTAATCCTCGTCCCCGAGGGCCTCCAGTCTTCCGCCCATCTTGGACTGCCTGGGTTCTGGTCCGCCAGCCCGCAGGAGGCGTCTCTCCTGGACATACCCCAGGACCACCTCGTCGTCCTCCCACAGGGATCCTTCTGTGAGTACGTCTTAGACAGCTCCTACCAAGAGGACGCCTGTGAAGAAGATGTAGACTTGGGCTTCTTGGCGCCTTTGGCTAAACCTCTAGCTGATCAGGCCTCTGGGCTCCTTTCCTACACCAGGATGCCCAGTCCTTGGCCTCAGGGCCGCATCACAGAGCCACATGCTCCGATGGCCTCCTCTAATGCAGAGCGATATTCTCCTAGGGCCATCTGGGACCTGGACAGCTACCTGCTGGGACCCTTCCCTAGCTCACCGCTTCAGCCTCTGCCTCCATCTCCTCCTCCGAGTCCTCAAGAGCAGCGCCCTCCACACCCTCCACACTCTCCACGGGCCCCGTGCAAGGCCCGGAGGCGACTGTTCTGTGAATGAACTGCACCGCAAAAATTCTTGATGCCCCTCAAATAAGAGGTTTCTCTGCTCCTAGATGCAAGGCACTAAGTTGCCTGTTTTAGGAATAAAAGTCCCACTCTCGCTGACACAAAGGACCGCAGACTCTTGCCGAGGGCCTTAATATTCCTAGAAGTCCTAGTGGTAAATTCCCAATACCCTCTGTTTCCCTGTTTCTTGACTAACCAAGAATAAGTAGTTTTCTTATGCTCTCGGTGTCCTTTCGAATTTTCTCATGATTTTTTGAAGATTTGGACATCACTCGCCTCCTTGGTCTTTCAGGCTGCTCTCCTAGGAAACTCCCCAATGCCATGATGAGCTGTGGTGGTTACTTAACTTGATTGTACATGTTCTCAGCAATCTCCAAAGCTACTGGTACAGTCTTCCTTTTCAGTCTCTTCATTATAAATGCGATTTATGGTAAATTTTACCGGCTGTTTTCAGCATGCACTGGGATATGCATTTGTTTTCTTTTTCTTTGTTTTTAATTTTTATTTGTTTTATTTATTTATTTTTTTAGGCAAGATCTCACTATGTAGCTCTGACTGTCTTAGAACTCACTATGTAGACCAGGCTGGCCTTGAACTCACAGAGATCCTCCTGCCTCTGCCTCCCAAGTGCTGGGATCAAAGTCCTGTGCCACTATCCCTGGCTTGCATTTGATGTTCACATCAAAATTTCACCAGTAAGCCGGTGGAAAATTTGTTTTTGTTACTATTATTCCACATTATTTTATGTTTTAAATTCTGAAATGATTTTTTTTCTCTGATAAGCCTACTTTGTAACGTTGTGTATGCAATTACCATATTTGCCTTGTTTTATTTTTATTTTTTTAATGTTACAGGTAAAGGTGAAGTTTACAAGATCATTCATAAACTCACAGCCATTCAGATTTACCAACCTACCTAACCAAATCTTTCCTCTCCGTTCTTGAACTAACCAAAATTTTCATCTTGCTAGGGACTATATATCTGCTTTTAATTTCTTTTTGCATTAATGCAGATTTAAGCTAGGGTCTCACACATTCTGGGCAAGCAGTCTAACACAACTACATCCCTAGCTCTCTCCTTTTTATTTTGAGACAGGGTCTCACTAAGTTGCCCAGGCTAACTTTGAACTCATTCTTTAGCCTAGACATACCTTGAATATAAAATCCTCTGCATCAGCCACCAGAGGAGCTGAAATTACAGGCCAGAGGGTAGCTCTTACACACGGCTTTTTTTATTGTTTAGGTTATTATTGATGTGTATTTGGGTGCATGTGTGTGAGTACAGGACCAAGTGTGAGTACAGGACCATGTGTGAGTACAGGACCATGTGTGAGTACAGGACCATGTGTGAGTACAGGACCATGTGTGAGTACAGGACCA